GTGTCCTGGGCACGGCCAGAGGTTGGGCACACCATCCCTGTGAGTCTCTTCCAGCCCAGGATATTCTGCGCTGGCCATGGATGAGACTCTTCATGTGAGAACTCCTGGCCAGCAGGTTAAAGATGAGTATTTAAAAAAATTCAAATTTTTAACTTGGGTTTATAGAGTTTATAATTTAGGGATTTTCTAAAAGTGGAGTCCTCCAGGTTTTTTGTCCCTTCTAACTTTGCTTCTGTGACCCCCCATCACTGAAAATCACAGAACCACGGAGTGGTTTGGGCCGGAGGGACTTGAAGACTTGAAGAATTTCACTTTTGCTGAAGGGAAGTCAGGCCAGCAGCACAGAGAGCTCAGTAAAACCCAGGACTGACCCTCGGGGATGGGGTTTATTCCCTGCTGAAGGGCCAGCTGTCTCCCAGCCACATTCCCGCTCTCGTTTGCATCCCTCCCTCCCTCCCCCTGCCCACGTGGGCCTCATTTCCAAGCCTATTCAAAATGATATTTTCCAAGCATGTGCCACACGACTTGTTCATATAAATGGAACAAATTAAACTGTCTCCACAGATATCCCCTCACATTTGTAGCCCTGATTCCTCTCCCTCACACGTGGCCAAGACACCGAATTATCTCCCTGCAGAGGTTGACCTCAGGATATTGGATTCTGCCACGGAGCTCTCCGGGACTAAACCGACGGGAAACACTTAATCACCCCTGCCTTTGCAGGGAAAAAAAATCAACTTGAAATTTGCCCTGATGAAAAATCAATAAAGCAGTAATTGCTTGGCTTATCACGGCGTGGAGGGACAAATCGGGAAGCGGAGCTGGGCGCGGATCCCGGGGAAAGGCGCGGAGTTTCGGGATCACTAAGCCAGAAAAGGGAAAGGTCTCGGAGTGATAATTAAATCTACTCCTGCTGATTTTCTGCCAAATTTATTTCCCCGGAGTTTATCAAAATGTTGCAGAGCTTACCGGGGGTGGGGGGGGGAGAAGGAATCAATTCAGCACCGGGCCGGCATGCGCCGGGCACGGGAATGCAAACCCTGGGATGAAGGGAGCAGGAAATGCAAATCCTGGGATAAAGACAACAGGAAATGCAAACCCCGGGATAAAGGGACTGGGAAATGCAAACTCTGGGATAAAGGGACTGGGAAATGCAAATTCTGGGATAAAGGGACCGGGAAATGCAAATTCTGGGATAAAGGGACTGGGAAATGCAAATTCTGGGATAAAGACAACAGGAAATGCAAATTCTGGGATAAAGGCACCAGGAAATGCAAATTCTGGGATAAAGGGACTGGGAAATGCAAATTCTGGAATGAAGGGACCAGGAAATGCAAATTCTGGGATAAAGACAACAGGAAATGCAAACTCTGGGATAAAGGGACCAGGAAATGCAAATCCCGGGATAAAGGAACCAGGAAATGCAAATTCTGGGATAAAGGGACTGGGAAATACAAATTCTGGGATAAAGGGACTGGGAAATGAAATTTCTGGGATAAAGACACCAGGAAATGCAAATTCTGGGATAAAGACAACAGGAAATGCAAACTCTGGGATAAAGGGACCAGGAAATGCAAATCCCGGGATAAAGGAACCAGGAAATGCAAATTCTGGGATAAAGGAACCAGGAAATGCAAATTCTGGGATAAAGGGACTGGGAAATACAAATTCTGGGATAAAGGGACTGGGAAATGCAAATTCTGGGATAAAGAGACCAGGAAATGCAAATTCTGGGATAAAGGCAACAGGAAATGCAAATTCTGGGATAAAGGCACCAGGAAATGCAAATTCTGGGATAAAGGCACCAGGAAATACAAATTCTGGGATAAAGGCACCAGGAAATGCAAATCCTGGGATAAAGACAACAGGAAATGCAAACTCTGAGATAAAGGGACCAGGAAATGCAAATTCTGGGATAAAGGCACCAGGAAATGTAAATTCTGGGATAAAGGCACCAGGAAATGCAAATCCTGGGATAAAGACAACAGGAAATGCAAACTCTGAGATAAAGGGACCAGGAAATGCAAATTCAGGGATAAAGGGACTGGGATATGCAAATCCTGAATTAAAGGCATTTAACTCGGGAAATGCAAATCCAGATTCTGGGATAAAGGCACTGGGAAATGCAAATCCTGGGATAAAGGCAACAGGAAATGCAAATCCTGGGATAAAGGCAACAGGAAATGCAAATTCTGGGATAAAGGCACCAGGAAATGCAAATTCTGGGATAAAGGCACCAGGAAATGCAAATTCTGGGATAAAGGCACCAGGATAACGCCCACCCCATCCAGCATCACCCTCCTAGCCATCCACCTATGGAATGACTGCTTGCCAAAAATTCATGTTTTCTATTCTGCTGTGTTCCAGAACAATTCCTCTTCCTGGTTTTCTGCTCCTCCTCCCCACACGTGGCTCTGCCGTGGTGTTTTTTAAATTCAATATTTAAAAATACTATTACCTGTGGTAGATTAAGAGAAATGAGCCCAAAACCTCTCCCTAACATCACCCAACGTGTTCCAATGTTTTCCTTTGCATTTTGGTTTTTTTGGGTTTTTTTTTTGCAATCTTCCTCTTGTCCACTTCACCTATTTGGAATTTGTCCGGAGTAAAACCCAGCTGGGTGGCAAAATCCCCTTTGGATTTTGTCACTTTTCAGGCAGCCCCAAAGCAAGTAAACAAAAACCAAACTGAAAAACAAAAAACAAACCGAAAAAAAAAAAACAAACCCCAAAACAAAAACCCAACCACTGAAAATACTCCTGGAAAAGTAGTGGGTTCTGCTAATAGACCTAATTTCATGCAGCAAATTAGCATAGCTCCAATGGAAGTGCAAATGTAATCAAACTGAAAAATTCAAATGAGGCGGGGGGAGCCTTTTTCTTTCTTTCTTTGCTTTTTAGTCACTTAAAAAAAAAAAAAAAATCAGCATTTTGCTGTGTGTCCTTCACCGGGCTGGAGGGACTGTGGTAATTAAAACATTTAAACCAGCACAAGCCCCCAGTCTCTAATCTGGAGCTGGGGTCAGCTGTCTGTAGATTCTAATTTGTCCTCAATTTTTTATTCATGCTGGGGAAATGCTGCATATTTAACAGGAAACCAGCAGGAAGGGGCAGCAGTGGGCTTGGAGGTCAAATAATTTGATTTCTGAGCAGATTACATGGAACATCCAACGTCTAATCTCACACCTGATTTGGCAATAAAATGACAATAAAAGGAATGTTAAGACACCCTCACTATGGGGTGGGCAATAACCAGTTTTTATGAGTTGGGAAAGGATTGGTTTGTTTGTAGAATTATTTTTATTGCAGCTGTCTACACAGGCTGGAATTTCCTTTTGGAGGGTTCTAGTTAGGGAAATAAAATATGGACTACTAGAGAAACAATTCTTTTTTTAAATAGTAATTTAGATTTTTTTTTTTTTAAGATTTAATTCAATATAATTTTGCTTTCTCTTATTTGATTCAATGACTGGATGTAGCACTCAGTGCTCTGGTGGGGATCAGTCACAGTTTGGAATCAATGGTGTGGGAAGTTTTTTCCAACCTCAGGAATCCCATGGGAGATCAAAGAGGGCTAAAAACCACCCAGAGATGTTGTGTGAGGAAGGAAGAACTAAGAAAAAATGGAAAATGCTCTTTTTCCAAACTAAAGATGCCACTGGAGCCTGGGACAGGGAAGGGAACACACTCAAAGCACTGGATAAATGCTCCTCAGCAAATGGTTGAATTTGAGTTATTCAGAGAAAATCTCTCATTTTCCAACACTGTGACATCACCCTCACAACCCTTCAAAGCCACCCCAGGACAGTTTTCATGGCTTATGAATAAACTGTAGAGAAGTTTTTCTCCCCATTTCCTTGGAAATTCCATTGTTCCCAAGTCATGAACTGCCCCTTTTTTCTTCCCTCTGCGTTTCCACACTCACCCTTCCCAATCCCTGCTGGCACAGCCACTGCCAGCACATCTGCCACTCACAATGGGATCTAAGCACACAAAAAATACTGTATTTTTCCAAACATTCCCTGAAAATTGGTGCTGCAACCAGCTCATCCCAAAATCCCTGTGCCCGTGGGAGCCTGGCTGGGTGACTCCTCCAGGTGGAAAGGCTCCCCCTGGGCCATTGGCTCCAAAATCCAGGAATCACAAAGGGGAGGGGGCACAGCTCCTTGGTTTGGTCCCTTTTCCAGTCAGATCTGGAAGTGCCCCTTCCCCCTCCTGCCATGTCTGGGCCATCCCAGTTTTCCACTTGAATTCCCTCCTTTGGTATCACAAGAACCTTCTCCAAGCAGGATTAACTGGGAGCACCAATTAATTCCCCTCAGCATCCCCCAGTCCACAGGGAAAACAAACTAAAGATTAGAACATTTTGATTTTGAGTGAAATTCTCAGCAGCTGCTGTTTCAAAATTGGGGAACTTTCCTGAGTTCCCTCTTGGAAGTAAATCCTGGAATCCCAGAATGGTTTGGGTTGGAAGGGACCTTAAAGGCCACCCAGCTCCACAGATCTCCAGTGAGGATTTGAGGCTCCTGGATTGTTTGGATTGGCTCCCTCATGATGTTGAAATGTCTCTTCCCATCACTCCCTGACATTTCAAACCCTGTGGTTTCGTTATTCCACCTAGCTGCTGTTTCAAAATTGGGGAACTTTCCTGAGTTCCCTCTTGGAAGTAAATCCTGGAATCCCAGAATGGTTTGGGTTGGAAGGGACCTTAAAGGCCACCCAGCTCCACAGATCTCCAGTGAGGATTTGAGGCTCCTGGATTGTTTGGATTGGCTCCCTCATGATGTTGAAATGTCTCTTCCCATCACTCCCTGACATTTCAATCCCTGTGGTTTTGTTATTCCACCTGCTGGACTGCAAAGAAGCAGCTCAGGGCACCAGATTCCATCACCAGCCCAGGCAGGAAAATCCCACAGCCCCACTGGAGTTTGGACATCTAAAAATAATAATTTCTGACTTCCTGGGCTTTGGTTTGTTGTGAAATAAAATAGAATTCCTCACCTTCTTCCTTTTTTCTCTTGGCTTCTTCTTCACTTCTCTCCTTGGCCTTCAACGCTTCGTCTGCTTTGGCTAAAAAGGAGAAAACAAGAGCTGGAATTAGTTAAATTTATCCTATCAAATCATGGAATCATGGGCTGGAAGGACCTCAAAGCCCCTCCAGTGCCACCCCTGCCATGGCAGGGACACTCCCACTGTCCCAGGTGCTCCCAGCCCCAGTGTCCAGCCTGGCCTGGGACACTGCCAGGGGTGGGCTGTCAACAACCTCTTGCCAAACAATATTTCCTGGGCTTTAAACCCAACTTCATGTTCCTTCCTGCAGGCCCCATGATGAAACCCACGTGCCTGACAGACAGAACTTGGTTCTTCATTTATTTTAAGTCACTCCCACAGTTAAGGAATAAATGGCATTACAGAGGGTAATATCAGGTCAATATTGGAGACAATATTAATTCAAAATTTGGGGTAAGCAAAGCCCTTAAGAGACTTTTAAGAGGTTTTCTTCCTTTAAACCCCAACCAGCCCAGCCCAGTTGCCCCCAGCCCAGCTGCACCAGATGTGGTGCACCCATGAAGTGGCAGATTTGCTGCCATAGTGAGTAATCCAGCAGACCTGTTTTGAGGATAAAACAGAAACAAAACAATATTTCCAGGGCTGCAGACTCTGCTCAGAGTGGGAGTCACACAGCTCTTCCTCAGGACTTTATTAGGCAGTACACAATTTTCTCTTCACTCCAAATCACAGCAGCAGTACTTAATCCATGTTACAACAATCTGCTTTAAAAAGAATCTTTTTCCCTCTAGAAACCTCTTCCCTTATTACTTAATTATCTACCAGTTGCTCAACTGCAGGGGTTTTCAAACACTTTCCTACAGATGTTAAAGAAGATTAAAAATATACAGCACAGTAACAAGGGACTATCAATATACTCTGTAAATTAATTAAATTTCTGTTCTAGCACATCATTTATTCCAAAGCATTAATGTCTCAAAGGAGCCATTCTCTTTTATTGCCATCTCACTGCCTGATGAGTGAACTAAGTGAGAATAAGTCTCTAATAACATTATACTTGATGAAATATTAAGTTTTCAAAAGTATCACCAGGCCAGAAAGAGAAGAACCAACAAGGACCAGGAACTCAGCATTTACACCAGGCCTTCTCAGGGAGGAAAATCACTATAAACTGTGGCCTGAATGGCAAGATCCGAGTCAGATTTGCAAATATTTAATCCCAGCACCTCCTGAATTAAGCAATAATTAATGAAAACCAAATTCAGCTCAGGAGGGGGGTGAAGGGCTGGTTCCTTCTTGGAGCCACCACCTCCACCTTAAAATGCACAACCTGACCAGGGTGGTACAAAGTGATCCAGTCACTGCACTGACAGCTGCTTCCATCTCCACAATTTTATACATATTTACACAACATTTAAAGCCGTGAAATATTAAAACTTTTCCTGCCACTGAAGATCATTACAAGAATCTATTAAATCCCATAATAAAAGCAAACCACGACTAACTCTAAAGACTTTTACTTCATTTACACTTTATTCTCCTTGGTAAAAGGACAGGGATAATAGAAATTCCATTTAAATTCAATTTTGGTGATATGTGTAATTGTAGATATACCCCTTGAGTCATGTAAAATGCTCAGCTTATGTTTCTTTCAAATTATCCCGCTCCCATTCCCATTCTGCTCCTTACAACTGTCTTCAATATGTATTAGCAGAGCTCATTAGGCTGGAATTTAATAATGCAAACATCAGGTGGATTTCAAGACCCTCCATTATCAGCACAAGATGGATTGCTCATATAGCTCGTGGGCCAACTGGGCACAATTTAGATTCAATAAACTACCAGGCCTAAATTTGATTTATCTATTCCACTGAGCTACTTTGTTCTTCCTGCCCGATTTGTTGCTGCACAGGAACAATTCATTGGGTATCTCAGTGGCAAAAAGATATTAAAACACACAGGAAAGATGCTGCTGGTCAATGAATAAATTTTTAGCTTGTCTTTGTTAACTTTAAGTCGCTGATTTCCAACCCTTGTAAGTCAAGTTAAAACTGCTGCCCAGGCAGAGCTTTGCCTTTCAAGTCCTGGTTAATTAGAGGGACAATGGGGCAATTTAGGAAGTATCACGAGGACAATTCTCCACACAGAATTGCTCATTAACAACAATTTAACTTAGCACATAAATCTCCAGAGCTCACAGGGCTCTGTGCACCACGACCAACAACAGGCACTGAAACTCTGAGTTACTTTCAGCATTTACCATCAAGGGTTTCCTTCAAACATTTCCCATTTTCTGCCATTTTTGCACAAAATCCCAGAATGTGCCAGGCTTGGAGGAACCACAGTGGGTCATCCCTGCTCCAGCAGGGTCATCCTGGAGAACATGGCACAGGATTGTGTCCACTCTTCTTCTTCCTCTCCTTCTCCTTTTCTTCTCCTCCTCCTCCTCCTTTTATTCTCCTTCCTCTTCTTTTCTTCTCCTTCCTCTGCACAGGATTGTGTCCACTCTTCTTCTTCCTCTCCTTCTCCTTTTCTTCTTCTTTTCTTCTCCTTCCTCTTCTTATTCTCCTCCTTCTCCTTTCTCTTCTTCGTCTTCTTTTCTTCTCCTCCTCAATGCTGGTATTATTATTATTGTTATTATTTAGTGAATATATTATTGTTCACTGCCCAAGTGCCATAAAAAGCACTAAAAGAAATTCACTTTTCTCAAACCAAGCTGCAATCAAACAACATTAAAAGATCTTTACAACCTGAGGGTTGGATTTGATGGTCTGGGAGGGCTTTTCCAATCTAAAATGTGAATTATTCCAAGGTAGAAAGAGGGCAGGTGATGTTTTGGGGCTGGAAAGGGCATTTTGGAAAGTGTGGCCATGGAGGAGCCCCTGCAGCAGAGCCCTCTCCCAGTGCATGGGAGAAGCAGGGAAGGTGCATGGAAAAGACTCAGCCCCTCACTAAGGAGACTTCATTTTCCTGTCAAAATTAAAAAGAGAGGAGTGGCAGAACACCCACAACTGCAAACCACAAGAGGTCTGGAAAAATAAATTAATTCAACATAACTGTGGACTTTCCAACTGCTCAAAGTTGAAAATACAAGATGTGTCTGAGGAGAAGAAAGCCCAGAAACTGTAAAAACACATGGACATCTCATTTAAAATGCAGCCAACCATCCCCAGTGCTCATCAGGAAGACTTCACCGTTTGTTTTTTTTTTAAACACAAACATTTTTGCACTTATAAAATATTCAGTCAGCTCACATATAAAAATACAAGTGGAATCCATTATTAATTTACAAGGCCCTGTTTAATTTACATGCTATTTTTCTCTGGTATATTAAATGTATCAAGGCTTGTGGAAATCCTCTCCGCCGAATATTCATAGGCTGACATGTGAAATTATCTGTTATCCATCTGACAAATTCCAGCACAAACTCCAGACCACCACTTGCTCGGAGAATTCCTCTGATAGGAACACCAGGAGCAGCACCCAGGAGGAATTCTCAGTTCCAGAGGAAAAGTGACACCACCACACACATTCTTATCACCTCAGATTTAAGCTGGCTTTCTGTATTTTTGCCTTTAGTAACATTTCACCCAAAATGTAAGCACCACCAACATTCTTAGAGGGCTTTTCCAGCCTAAATGAGTGTATGATCCTATTAATCCACAACCCCAAAAATCCACGGGGTTCTGTGGTTCCATAAATCCCTGTTTTGGGTGGTCACTCGCCCACTCCATCGTGTCCATGGCCACAGATCTCCCCCGAATTACACCTGAAACACCCAATTCCCAAACATGGGAAGTTCTGCCCTTGCTGCCCTGTAATTTAATTACACCAGACTAATGATGGATATTGGAGCCCTGAGCGTGAGGGAGGAGCTCACTGCCCCCTCCCCTGCTCTGCCAGCCACACTTCACAACTCCCCACAAGCCCAAATCTGGATATTTTAAACTCCTTTGAGCTCCCGGGGGAACACACCCAGTGTTTGGAAGGGAGATGTTATCCCACTGATTCCTCCTGCTGTAGGAATGCTGCTCCTCACCTCTTCAGCACCAGTTCCTTCCCTCAGTCGTTTCAGGAAATATTCCTTATTTTGGGATAAATGTCCTGTTCTGGCACAGCTAACGAGCATCTGGCTCACAGCCACAAGGGTTTTCCCAAATATTAAATGGATTTTTGGTAGAAGATAAATCCAGTCACGTACAGCCCAACTGAAAAAACACAGGCAATACCCAAATGTTGTCGTATTCCGAAGGATAGCTGAAATATTTGTGGTTATTTGGTGTAACCGAGCTAATAATCAAGATAAACCCTTCCCCTCCAACCAGGCAATTTTCCCCTGCTTTCTTTCACTGTTACCATTTTCAGGAAGCAGTTTGTGGCTCACCTGCTGGCTGGAAACGGCACGGGGCTGGGAGAGAGCCCAGCAGGAAAGAGAGGATATCCAAAACCCCGGCGAACTCCCCGAGTCCAAAGGGGTCAAACATGAAACCAACTCCTCTGCAGAGAGGGAGGCACCTCATCCCTGGCTGGAACACCAACGTGCTGGGCAGGAATCCGGGAGGAGAAGAGGCTGGAAGGGCCACGGGGTGTTGGGCAGGGAAGAGCTGAGAGCTAAAACCCCGTTCTGGCGAGCGGGGCCGAGCTCCCCGAAGACCTCCCGGATCCCGGTGACTGCCTCCTGTATTAAGACTGCCTTTCTCATCACTTAATGCTTATTTTCATCACTTTGCTTAAAATATTGATAATCAATTAGGGCTACGTCTGTTTTGCCACAGAATCTGTGTCACAGTCTATCAGCCTGTCAGGGCCAATTCAATCCTCATTCAAAGTTAATTTTTTCTCCATAAATCCGCCTTTGGAGGAGTCATTAGGCGCAGAACATAGCCCGAGGTGCAATCACCTATTCTCTTTCATTAGAGGCAGGCAGGGAAGGTGAGGGAGATTATTAGAACTTTGGAATGATCACAAAGCAGCGTGCTGCCTGTCAGATCCCCCCAACATTTCATTCATCTCGCCAGCTCGCTGCCAAGGCTTCTAAATGGACATTATTCATGAACATC